TGGGGGCCAGGATTCACAATGGCTAGCCAAGTGGGATCCGACTCAATGCTCAGTGCTTAACTACTGTACTGTGGGATTGGCTGTTTAGAACTATTTTTCCACAGTAGGCCAGATAGTCTGTATTATAGCTAGCTAGTTCTTGAAGCCTCACAATAAGACATGGCCGATAGGATTGATTCTTTTTTTTAGAGTTTTACTATAGGTCACATGTGGTCACTAGAGAGACAGAAAGTAAGAAATCACCCCTGAGGGGAGATGGCCACACCACTATCCTTTCTCTTCCATTGTCCTCTCAGGATTTTGGGCATACATACACAAACGCCCTGCATGATTTTTTTTTTTTTTTTTTGGAGAGGTTTTTGCTATAGGGTGCGTGAGCTCGCCAGAAAGACAGAGACAGAGAGACAGAAAGCGAGAAATCACTCCCAGGGGGGATGGCCACACCACAATCCCTTCTCCATTCTCTTGGGATCTTGGGCATGCACGTACATGCGCCCAGCGTGACTTTAAGCCACCGGGTCTGGGACTTGAACTATGGACTACATGGGGTCCAGTGACATAGCCGTTTCACTAACTGCTGGTCCCAACGCCCTGCATAACTTTTAAGCTGTTGGATCTGGGACTCAGATCATGGTCATCCATATGGGAGTCCAGCACCTTAACCACTATGCCCTCTACTGGCACCACACGTTTAAAAAACATACATATATTGAAGTACATAAGATTTGCAAACCAGAAAACTACACATTAAAGGATATTTTGGTGGTGGTTGATATGTGTAAATAACAATGAAATCACAGAAGATTTTCTTGTGCTCTTTTCTAACCCTTTCATCCCCTCCCCATGGGCTCTTATCTCTGTATCCACTGATCTGCTTTCTTTGACTATAGATTAGTTGCATTTTCTAGTATTTTATATAAATGGAATCTTCAGTGTATAGTATTTTTCAGTCTTTTTTTTTTTAAATAATTATTTTATTTAACTTTGTTTTAACTCGACCAGAGAGGAACAGAGTTGGGGAGGGGGGGTGAGAAAGCAGGCTGCCATGTCCAGGACTTGAACCATGGTCAGTCATGTGGGAGTCCACCGCCCTTAACCACCACACCACCTGCCAGCCCCTCCATCTGTTTTTTAGTCAGCATAATTGTTCTGAGATTTACCCATGTTGTATCAACAATTCCAGGCTGATAATTTTTAAATAATTTATTCCATTGATTTTGTTTGGTTCTTCTATTTTTCTTATTTGACAGACCTGTGGCAGATAGCATGAGGGAAGGACAGTTGCTATAGAAAGCTATATTTGAAAACTTGGGGTAGGTGAGAAGTTTTAGCCTACTTGCCAGTGAAAAAGGTTCAAAGTCTATCTTAATCATAATATTTCTGAACTACTTAAATTCTAGTTGGTATTGGACAGAAACCATGAGGCCCTAATTACTGGTATTAGGGACACTTGGAGAAAACCTTAGGGAAAATATTGTCTCCCATGCTTACCTTTTTATTGGAAATATATGCCTGTTTTTATGATTTAAGTTTAAACCAATTATTCACAATTTTGAGCAGTAGAATAGAGTCCTATTGTCTGTTGTAAAGTAAATAGTAATTTTGAGTACCAGCATTTTGTCTTTACAGGACAGGGTCTGTTTTGTATTTTGTCTCCACCAGGATATTCAGTTTCCTTTTAGATTCTTGACCATTTCTAATCCACAAACCAGAACTAGTTCAGATTTGTACGGTGCGAAATAAACTTAGGGTAAGCAATAATTGGTATGATTCTTCTGGCATTCAGGAAACAGAACTGTATATCCCAAAGTCTGTTTCTTGGAGGGAAAAAGGAATGTGTGGTGCTGGAAAGGGAGGAGAACTAGAAATCAGGTTCTTACGTGTCTGTATCCTCTCCTCAGATCTGACACGATGGCATCTGACGACTTTGATATAGTGATTGAGGCCATGCTCGAAGCTCCCTATAAAAAAGAAGAGGTAATGATATTCCACACTTCACTCCTGGAATCGGGTTAATAAGTTAGAGCAGTTGGGGATCATCAGTTTCAAAATCTTGTGACCCTTCTTTCCCTGCTTATTTGTTTTATACAGCGATTATTCATAAAAGCCATAGTTGTAGTAAGCTTTACTGGGACCCATACTGAAGAGTCATACATTTAGAGAGGGCTGCAAAAACCAGAGGTGGACATATTATATACTGGAAATGTGCACTTTGCTCCTAATTCTCAGTGGTGAAGTAGAAGATCAGTGAGCCTCAGACCTAGTGCTAATTTCTTACTCTCCTGAGAAATAGATTAGTGAAACATATTGGGTAGCTAAAGTTCAACATTAAAGTCTGTCATTCTCATCTCTTCCTTTTGGGTAGTTTTCTTGCTTCCTCTTTTATTCCCTTTGTTAGGAGATCCGAGTGCTCAAAAACTGGCTAGATAATCGAGAGCTTTGATTTCTCCCTTGTCCACCTTTGTTCTTTTTGCCCAATGGAATCTGTGTTTTTGCCACCTTGTACTTTGTGACATTTTCCTGGCGAACTCCTAAGGATGAGCAGCAAAGAAAAGAGGTTAAAAAAGACAGTCCTAACGATACCACCACCAACAGCACCAGCAGCACTGGCAGCAGTGGCAGTGGTACCAGTGGGAACAACACCTCGGGAGAGACAAGCAAGTGAGTGTGGCCTGAAGAGATGGGTGAATGATTTGGGGAAGGGAAACAGCTGCGTTCATTACAGAGACAGCCAGAACAGAAAGGTCATTGCTCTTGAGACTTGATGGCTTTTAGTAATGGCTCCACTGGGTCATAGGAATAATAGTACATTGATTTAATGATACTCTAGTCTTCACTTTCCAATGTAGGTTTGTGGATCAGTCATAGCATAAGTCAGTATGTTTCATTTCTATAAAATAGCAAGAGGAGCCTTGATTTGGAAATGCCAACTTTTGCTTGGCTTTGGGGAGTGGGAGAGGGCTGCTTGAGTTGCTTGACAGCTTTCAGGGCTGTGTGTAAGTTGTTTTTGTGCAATTGCTGTGAACTACTAGATTCTCTTCAGGGCTTTGGTCTTTTGTTGTTCTCTGTTTCACCCTGGCCTTACTGTCACTCCTTTTCCTTGGGAAATTTAATGAAACCTCACCAGTAAGTATTTATGCTCCCTTTCACAGGAAGAAGAGGAGTCGGAGCCATAGTAGAAGCAGGGATAGAAAACGCAGGTCAGTTATTCTGGGGCCTGTTGGGATCTGGAAATTTTTATGAATGGGAAGTTATCAGGAAAGCTATATATTAAAGCCCAAAAACTTTAATGAACAATAGTTGTTTCTCTCTGTAGTCGGAGTCGAGACCGGGATCGGCATAGGCGGAGGAACAGTCGGAGCCGAAGTCGGGATCGACAGCATCGTCACCGCAGCAGAAGCTGGGAACGTAGACATAGTAGTGAGACACGAAGTCGGGACCGGCGTCGTGAGGATCGTGTGCGCTACAGGAGTCCTCCACTTGCCCCTGGGTACCACTTTCTACTAATAGGATCACCTTTGTGTAATCTGGGTGAAACAACACACTGTGGACCCTGCCTTAAGGGTGCCTATGTCCCATTGTGATAGGCAGGATACTCATTCACTGGAGGGGTGGTATTAAAAATTCATATGTTGGGGGGCCAGCAGGTGGCGTGGTAGTTGGGGACGCTGGGCTCCCACATGGTTCAAGTCCCAGACCTGGTCACTTGCTTTCTCTTCCTCTCTCTCTTTCTCTCTCTCTCGCTGGTCAAATTAAAATAAATAAATAAATAAATAAAATAATTCTTAAAAAAAAATTCATATGTTGGGACCAGCAGTTAGCATAATGGCTTTGTCACTGGATTCCCATGTAGTCAACCACGGTTCGAGTCCCAGACCCGGTGGCTTAAACTCTCTCCAGTCTTGTGTGCATGTGTGCCCAAGCTCCCGAGAGGAGAAGGGATTGTGGCATAGCCATCCCCCCTGGGGGGTGATTTCTCGCTTTCTGTCTCTCTGTCTGTCTCTGGCGAGCGCACGCGCCCTATAGCAAAAACCTCTCAAAAAAAAATATTCATATGTTTGGGTCGGCGGGTGGCATGGCGGCTAAGGGTGCTGGACTCCCACATGGGCAACCACCGTTCAAGTCCCAAACCTGGTGGCTTGCTTTCTCACTCTCCCCCGCCCCCCCCTTGCTCAATTGCTCTTGCTCTGTCCCTCTCTGGTCAAATTAAAATAAATACAGAAAGAAAGAAAAATTTTAAAATAATTAAAACAAAAGAATTCACATGTTGGGGGCAAGCAGGTGGCACAGTGGTTAAGGTGCTGACTCCCATATGGTTGAATGTGGTTTGAGTCCTAGACCCAGCGGCTTGAAATTTAGGCCAGGTGCATGTGCATGCATACTCAAAAGCCTGACAGGAGAATAGAGAAGGGATCGTGATGTGGCCATGCCCCTGGGGTGCCGTGTCCTCCTTGGCTGAACATGTTTTTCTGAGTGGAGAAGGGTGTGGATTAGAAATAAACAAAATAGGGACTTGCAGGTAGCATGTTGGTTAAGAGCACTGGACTCCCACGTTGCTAACCACAGTTCAAGTCCTGGACCTGGTGGCTTGCTTTCTCACTTTCTCTCACTCTGTTCCTCTCTGGGTAGGTTAAAAAAATAAACAAATAAGATAATTCTTTTTTTAAAATAAATTGACTGTGGTTTGAGTCCCAGACCCAGTGGCTTAAACTCACACTGGGTGTGTGTGTGTGCATGCCCAAGATCCCAAGAGGAGAATGGAGGAAAAGGGATTGCGGTGTGGCCATCCCCCTTGAGGGGTGATTTCTCGCTTTCTGTCTTTCTGTCTCTCTTGTCTCTCTCTCTCTCTCTCTTTCTGGTGAGTGCACATGCCCTATAGCAAAAACCTCTCCAAA